AGTCCTGTGATCTGTCCTGTCCTGTCCTGTCCTTCAGGACTTCAACCACGTTCCGGACGCACTGCACCCTTGTGTCCAATTTGCACGTTTGTTTTTTCCCATGGCTGAGCTGTTTTATAATGGTCGTCGAATTGACGGACGGAGAGCAAATGAATTGCGTAGTGTTTTCTGCCAGTTCGAATTAGGCAATTCAGATGGAATCGTTCTATTACATCAAGGTATTTGCGTTTTTCGCTAGTTTACTCCAAGGCAACACCAAAGTAATGGCCTCGGTAGTAGGTCCTCATCCTTGTCGATTCAAAGGCGACATGAAACCTGACGAAGCGTTGATATTATGCAAATATAGCAAGCCCCCATTCTCCTCCACTTCCGGTGAAAGGAGAAAGATTTCTACGAGAGATCGATCATCTAACGATTTCGCCTCTGCTATTGAGGTAAGTTCATTGAAGGGTTCCAGTGCAGCTTTCCAGTCATTGAAACCACTTCATGTTCTGATGATTAAATGAGACAGTGTTTCTTCTCATTAGCGCTCACATGATAATTGTTGGAACTGCCGTAGCTTTACAAATTAGGTCTACTCGTCGACTTGCCCGATCAGCCGCACAGCACATCACTCACGTGTGCCGATGATATCAAATTCTGGCATGCAACGGAGGGTTCAGAGGATCTGGATGCTCTACCATAATATCTGAACCCTGCGCGGACACCTAGGCCCTTCCAGTCAGTTCAGTTCAGTTTTCATAGGACAAATATGGGTCTTGCCAATGGAGCGTCCAGTTCGTTGTGCTGTAAGCGGATGTGAGTAGCTTCCAACACTACGTAAAATTGATTAGGTGTTTGTGGTCCTCTCAATTTAGCCCCGTTGCCAGAACGTTGACTCCTTGAGGGTATGGTGAAGGGGAGGAAAACAAGTAAGGAAATCTCCTCGCCTCATTGGTTAGAAACCTCAAATACACATGCGTTCGTATACATAAATCACATGTGATAGGACAGTCAGTTTCAGACCAATTCCAATACTCAAGCCCGAGTTTTATCCATTTCACAAAATTTCGGATAAAGTGGAATTTATTCTTGATGTTCTCACTCCAAATACTAACTTCGGAGAACATTGCTGACAAACATGCGTCCAGACCCACCTTGAAGGCGTTAACATGGGCGCATTTGACCACCACGTGGTGGACCGAAGGATTCACCTTTGAGTAGATCAACGCCAAAGCCTCAAGAGACTCCGTTGTGAGAACTGAGAGGAAGCGAAACGGAAGCGATTGGTGCAAAGAAAACAACCACCGCTTCCAGCCCCGTAACTGCTGTAAAACTAAAAACTGTAGCACAGAAGTTCGTTTCTCCAGAGAAGGATATTTTCAGGAACGGAGCGCAGGGAACCTCTTCCCGCGAAAAGGTGTCGGAGGACCGCAGCTGGGCAACAGTAGTAGCGAATACACCGAAACGCCGACCAGGATTGGGCACAATTACCAGTCCCTAACGCGAGGACCTAGAGTTCCTCAAAATAGTCACGCCGCAGGCATCCAAGTCAGCAGACTGAGTAGATCCAAAGGTGGCATATTTTGGATAGCGGATATTGCCTCCAGCTGTTACACAACAGCAAAAAACGGGGCTATCCCCCGGATATTACGCCCAAGGACTCCAAGAGTATAAAAGGGCCGCAGTCGGAACAGCTACAATTAGGCAGAATTGCAGTCTGGTATACTAACGCTTGTAGCGTCTGAGGAAAATGGGGCGAGATTGCATCACGCTCCCAGGGATCCGAAATCGTCGTTATTACGGAATCCTGGTTGCAGGAAGTGCAAGTAATAGCCGACCTAAGGGGCTATACTAGTTACCGGCAGGATAGAGTAGACGGCAGATAGCAGTGTACCAATGTTAGTTAAGTCATCCTTCAGCCAATGGGAAACAGCTGGTCTTAGCAACCCCTAACATCCAAGCAGTAGGATACTGTGTCCAACTGGGAAGAAGGCAGATAGGCATACTGATACGTCAAAATCTGCCGCAATCGCCATCTGTGAAACAGATGTACATTGAGAACTCCGGACGCTCAACAAGCACCAGTCAGCAGGTCCGGATGGAATCCGGCTCTTACCAACGAGAGTCGAGAAACCTCAAGAAACCTCACTGCGCAGAACATCCTGCGAAAAGGACCAGGTAGTTATGGTAACGTCATCACTGAAGACCCGAGAGAACAGTGATGGGGTCTGTTTCAATGCATTGGGCATTCTGGGACCCAATCGGCAATTTGTCATTCCTCTTACGGTGGACAATTTTAGATCGATGTACTCTTCTTACGTCAGACCGAGGCTTGAGTAGCCTAGCGACGAGGCATACCCTGCACATCCGGTGAACCGCTCTTGGAGCATGTAGAACCTGCCGCCACTAGACCCGTTGTTGAACGACGTTGGACCAGGTATGAAGATTATCTACAGATTACTGGTCTGTTCCCATTTGCACATAAGCTCGTCTAGGGAAACGTGGTCGTTCTGAGGAAGATCCTGAGGGGTGATATGGGCCCGAAATTGCAGCAGCATTCTCCACTACGGACAGAGGAACGCACGCGGGGGCATTCTCTTATTTTGTTTAAAATCCAGTTGGTTGGGTTTCCGTTAGTCTACAATCTCGCAGAGGTCAAAAACGCTCTGGAATTCCCTTCCAGGGACCGTGGTGGAGGAGATGACCGACGCTGCTTTCAAGCGGCGTCTGAATGAGCACTTCAATGAGTTATGGAGGGACGACCACGTTTGATCAAACCTTCTACCCAGTGGTGACGAGGCTTATACCCTCAATACTCAGGACTGAAGTCTGGTACTTTTTGTAGTGCAATAACCGATCGTTTCAAAACTAATTCTGGTATGACTGGTTTTAAATACTAACCCTAAATGTTGCACTTTGTAATTAATTTTATTCCATAAGCCAGAACGTGACGCAGTTTGTTTTACATAGACAATTGATGTGGAACTAAAAACACAACAAATTAACCACACCCAGCATCTTTTTCCTCCTCCACACTCCGATTGCAATCGCATCGTGCTTGTCATTCTCTTCTTGCTAACACCTATCAATTTGCTCATGATTAAAGACGTTGCCTCTTCACATACACCATCTTTACTTTCCTCCTTCCACAGAGTCGAGCATTCCATTATTTGGTCTTTTACTGGAATGGTGGCTCCACTGTTCAAAGCTCTTTCAATCACGAGGCCTTTCATTGTGCCTTAATACGTTCGCAGCAGGATTTCTGCCCTTAACTTCGCCTGTGCGCTGCGCAGTTTTTCATGTTGGTGTTGGTATTCTCATCCTTTAGAAGTCGTGATTTGCTCCCATCCGTTTTTTAACTCTGATGATTGATGCACGTTACCATTCAGCTTTAGTGGTATACACGTTTGTTCTCGCTGGGCTCTAAAGAATTAAAGATGAAAGTTGACCATTTGGTTATAAAAAATGTCAGCTAGTAAAGTAACTAAACAACCAAGGGGTAAATTTCACCTTTGCGTGTTCTAAAATCCCGACACATTCCTTGAATTTACGGTTCGTTGCGAACTATTACTTTTACTGAAGGCCTAAGTGCACCCCATTCTCTACTAATACGGTCCACTTCTCCTATTGGTCCTGAGTAACATGAAACTGTACGTCTCATCGGTGATCTAACGCGTAGTTCCTGTCTCCACTCACCACCTCACCACACAGCTGTTGTTTCACTCTTTTTTCTGTCGTTATGATAGTATTTCGATCCCGGAAACTAATCTGCAGTTCCGACTCGCCTTCTATCCAATCACCCAACCAGCAAACCATCTTTAACTAACGACCAGCGCTGCTTGCTGAATTCCTGGGGATTGTTCACCAAGTTTCATCGAGATCCCACGAACCGTGGAATACATTGCCCCTTTCTTAAAATTTTTATGTCTTCAATCACTAAATCACCAAACTGGTTTTAAAATTATTCTGTAACGTCACTCCCCGTTTTCTGTCGCTCTTTGAACTGTGGTTTTCCGCTTCTACTGTAATCGAATGTTTGCTTTCGTAATCATAAAAATCTGACTTTTTTATTACACATCTAAGTATGATGAACAGCAGATGGGGCAAACCCCATAGTCAAAGGACCTGCTGTTCAGTGGTGGAAACCGGCAACCTAGGCCCCGGGACTTGGAGTGGCAAACCACGTAAGGCCCCGATAGGNCCGATAGGTTAGGTGTGATATTGAACCGGACGACAGCAGAGCTGCCTACCACCAAAGTTGGGTGGCGGTGACGGGGCTCAAACCTCGGATCATAACCTAAAGATCCATCGCCACAGTCATAGGTTGAAACAACTGATCCAAACTGAAGAACAATGGAACATATATTCCATTCGTTTCCTATCATCTTCACTCCACGGTACTTGAGGTTACCGTCAAAGAATCAAACGTAGCTTGGCCGTCGGAAACTGCCATTGTTTTGCGCATTTTGCCTTGTTACGAAAGCTTTTCTGGAAGTAATTTCCTAGAGGTCGTTTTATGCATACATATACATCTATTTCTAATGGGTGATAATAGCTTATGATCAAACATCTGACCATTCAATGCTGCCAGTGTTTATAGGATCAGGGTTCCTCACGCAAAGTTTTCGTATGGTCGCTACTGCCTTCTATTTGCTTCAGGCCTAGATAAAAAATGTAGCAGTTGTTTTGTGCTTCAATTTCAGGAAATATTTACTTGCGTTGTACGAAAAGATAAGTATCCTATGTCTCAAATTGACATATTCCTGGAAGTGCTACAGTCTGACGGTTCGGAGTTTGCATGTGCTGTCAATGCTGCAACATTGGCTCTGACAGACGCGGGAATTGAAATGAAACACCTCGTGTGCGCTGTAACCGTCGGTAAGTTACGATAACTAATACCATACTAAAATCTTTAATCCCTTGTACTGCGTTGCTTCTTTACGATGGCACAAACAAATCCAATAATTCCGACGTATATCTCCTTGTAGATATCGCCAGTACGAGTATATTTTAGTGGTTACTGATCATAAATTAAACCAAAAGAGCATGAGTAAAAAGGTCATGACGAGACAAATGCGAGTAGGCCTTCGTGCTTTTTAATTGCGATCCGCCGGAGGCCCTCAGTTAGACTGTGAACACTATATGTTTTGATATTCAGCACAATAGTGTTCTCCTCACTAACTGCATCCATACAAGTTTACCTGAAAATACTGCAATTTGATTTCATTCTTTTTAGGCTTTATAACAGACTGCCGCAGATGACCCAGGTGGCCTATTTTCTCAAGGAACAAGATGTCTAAAGAAAACAGAACTTCCTTCTTGGAATCGTTCAAATTAGATATTTATGATTTCTTGCTTTTTTTCACTGTCTGTGTTCAAATAATTGTAACCAAATCGTGACCCATGCCTATTACTACCAAAGAAATGCATTTAAAATACCTTTGAGTTTCAAAACATCACGGCTATCCTAACCAAAACAGGTGATTTTCTTAG